CTGTCATGGATGCTGCAGTTTCTCCATCTCTCATGTGGATGCAGGACCAAGGCAATGGAGCTGGCTCAGGCATGGCTGTGGGCTCCATGGTCTGCTGGGGTAGAGAAAGCTGAAGCCGTGGCCGTTCTCCCATGGCCCGTCGTCGCAGCTGGCCAGCACCCACCACGGCAGCACCTGGGTGGCACTGAGGGAGCAGGAGGGACAGCCTGGTTTGGGAGCACCCTGGGGCACCCCAGGGATGCTCAGCCACCCCGCCATGGGCAGCATCCCCCTTAATGCCATCAGCACATCGCTCTGGCCCTGCTGGATGGCGAGAAGGAGGAGAGCTTCTGCCACCTCTTGCAAGGCCCGTGGAGACGGCCAGTCCCAACACGCTGCCTCTCCCCCAGCCCCGCTCCCTCCCCTCTCCCTAATTAAACTGCAGGTGAACCTGCCAGGCTCTGGCCCAGCGCCAGGCACTAAACGCCTCCTTGCAGATCCCGACTTGCCTCCCTGCACCTCCTTGAGCGTGCCGGGGACAGCCCGCAGCCCTCTCTCCCTGTCTCCAAGCCGGCAGCCCTCACCATTCAGCCGGCTTCAGGGAGCTGGGCTCAGCGCCGCAGCCCCGGGGATGCTGCCCTGTCCCCAGGGCCTCACTTGCCACCATCAGCTGGAGAAGGGCCAGGGGACGGAGGCACCCACAGGGATACAGCCAAGCATCCGAAGAACCCACGTACACTGTGGGGACAGGTGGGCAAAGTCCTTGACTTGCCTGGGTGTACTGAAACCCCTGCCAGCAGCTGCATCTGTGCTGGGCCAGGCACTGCGGTCTGAGGGCACAGAGCTTGGCTGGGGCTCTGCAGAGCCAGGCAGTGGAGTCCTGAGCTCTACAGCATCTCCCTAGATAGCCGTAACAGCACCTGCCTCCATCCCTGCACTGCAAAGCCTACCCAAGCTCCAGCCCACAGCTGGCTGGGCCCCAGCACCTGGCAATTCCAGCCTTTCAGGGAGTTCCCTCCTCCCTGCTGTACAGAACCAAGGGTTGGCCGTGGCCACACAGACCCCTTGGCATCATGGAGCCCTTCTAAGGAGGGCACGGGACATGCAAGCATCATCCATCCCTCCAAAGGCTGCAGGAGGAACGACGGGATGCTGTATTCCCAAGCCATGTCCCCTCCAGGCATGCACCCTCAGGAGACTTCAAGGGCACGCAGCCCCTCCGTGGGGATCCTATTTTTGTCAGAGCTGTATATAGACAGGGTTGGGATGAACTCAGGGAAGAGGGATCCCTCAGCACACCTCAGACAGCCCCTGCACGGCAGCCGGACAGCCCCAGCCCTGCTAGCATCGTACCCACCCATGGGTGCACATGTACCAGACAAGGACAAGAGCTCGGTGACCCACTGCCACCCACAGCTTTGTTTGTGCCATGCATCCAAGCATGGTTCAGCCCAGCCAAGCCACACAGTGCCCAGCAGCCCGCAGGTGCTAAAGGGGGACCACATACCGGGAGCAACAGGCCACCCTCTCCAGTGAGGTGGACACGATCGTGCTGCTCTCCCTCAGAGCAGGGGCAGGGTACCTGGATCGGTTACTGGTGGAGATGCAGCCCCCTGCCTCCACCTCACTGCTCCATCCTCCCACCTATGCCCCTGGGGCTGGGGGAGGATGTCTCTGCCCACACTTGGAGGGTGAGGGAGAGCAGAGAGGGATGGGACCAGGGATGGGACTGGAGGGTGCTGGCAGGGGTGACAGTACCAGGGAATGGGCAGCAGGGTGGTGAGGACCTAGACAGACTGCTGAGGAGCCAGGGAGGACAGGAGGAGGATTTGCAATGGCAGTGCTGAGCCTGGATGCACATGGAGGGGATGTGGGCCAAGGAGGACGGGGGATGCAGATGGCACTGGAGGCTCAGTGAAAGGTGCAAGGGACACCCCACACCCCAAGGGTGCAGCTAACTTGCTGTTGTGCCTCACAGCCGCTGTGCCCTACACCCCAGGGATGGCTGCATCTCCCTGCTGCATCTGGCAGGTCTGTGCTCTGCCCAGGAGGCTGTCAGGATCCCTGTCCCCAGGTACGCTGCCCAGAAGCCATGCCAGATTCCCAGCCTTGCCTGACCTGAAGCCCCCCTGCTCCTTCCCGGCTCCCCTGGGCTTGCACTCAAAGTTCTGGGATGAAATCAGCGGGATGGGGAGACAGGCACTTGTTTGCCGCTGTCCACCGCTCTGTCCGCCGGGTGTAAGCCCTCTGGCTCCACCAAACACGGGGATGCCGGGCAGAACGAGGGCCAGGCGGGCGGCAAGCGCCGGCGCTGCAACCCGGACACTGCGTGGGGGAAGATGCGGGAGATGCAGGAGCACGGGCGGAGCTGGGGAGTGGAGCCAAGCCGGGAGAGCGGGAGGAAGAAGCCAGCTACAAATAATTTAAAGTGAGATTCACGCACGGCTGAACTGATGGCAGAAGAAGTGGGAAAAGGAATGAAAGATTAAAGGGGTCTGTCACTTCAGGTTACAAACAATGATCCTACGAGCACGTTGCGTTCCCAGGCACGGCAAGGATGGGGCAGGGTGCAGAGCAAAGACCTGGTCCCCAAGGGTGAGACGCATTAATGCCTGCAGCACCCTTCACTTCCACCACTTGCCTCTCCTCCAGTGCCGGGCTCAGATGATGCACCCAGCATCCCTGCTCTGATGGCTGCATCCCTAACAGCTGCAAGGCAGAGCTCAGAGCTCCAGCTCCCTTATTGAGGGACACGAGTGGGCTGGAATCAGGCTAGGGCACCAGCTCCAAGGCTTGTTCCATGCCAGAACGGCTCTGAGCAACCACATGGGATGGCCTGGATGCTTGGGGCTCATCCTGCACTCTGCTGCCAAAAGAAGAGTGCTGTGAGGGGCCTGCCTGGGTTGCTGCTCCACCACTACCTCCATCCTTCCCCAGCGCTGCGTCTCCATCCCAGGGGATGGGATCCCACCGGTGCTGGGACTCTGGGCTGAGCCATCCCCAAGAGCTCAGGTCTGGGGCAAGAGTCCAGGGCTGTGGCTGCAGGAGTGCTTGCACCCATCGGTCATGGCCCTGGCAGCTGGAAGGGCTGGGATGGCACCTGAGACAAGGCTGAGGGAGGGATGCAGGAGGAGAGTGTTTCCTGCTGCTAGAGCCTCTCACCCAGCCTGGTGGGACCCGGAGCAGGGAAGCTCCTGGGTGTGTGAGCAACTCGAGCCAGCAAGTGTCTCCCGACGCCTGAGGAGACTAGAAATGAACTGCATTCCTCAGAGGACCTGGAAATACCTCGATGCTTATCAGAGCTGACGTCCCCACCCTCCCTGCCAGGCCCTAACCTGGGTGCTGCTCATCAAGGGAAGAGACGCTGCCCTTCTCCAGGCATTGGCAGCCGCTCCACAGCAGGACTACAATCCTGATGCATGCTCCGAGGCAGCATCCAGCATCCCCTCCAGAAAGGCTTTGCCCATCTGCCCTGGACATGAGGGACTTCCCGGCACCAAAACACTTCCATGCTCCCCTTTCCAGCCACCTTCCCACCAGCCTGAGTGCTCCTGCCACCGCATCCCCTCAAAGGCATGTAAGCCTCAAGCTGCCATCCCCTCCTCTGTGAGACTCCTTGCAGTCCCAGGGAGAGATGTTGCAGGATGTGGAAGGATGTTTGGGGAAGGGAGAACAGAGGCACCTCTCTGCTGGGCACCAGACTAGGAGGCTCCCTCCCAAAGAGGGTAGGTGAGCAGCATATTGGGTGGTTCTCTCCTTCCTCACGAGCTGGAGGAGCGATGTGTTTGCTGGGCACCTTGCCTGCGCTCAGCACCCTGCCACCCGCACCACGTCTCTCTCTCCTGCCCACAGCCTGGGGCAACGGGGCCTGCAGTGTGTGCCAAGGCTTCAAGAAGGGTACTTAGGTGAGAAGGTACATTCAAGTCCTACAGAAGGTCCCATCAGCTCACAACCCTGATCTGCACTGTGCAGGGCAGACTCTCTGCACCCCCAGAGTCCGCTCCTGAGGGGAAGAGTATCAACTGTGGAGGCTCTGACAGACACAAGGGATATGAGGAGACCCTGGCACCAGGCTCAGCGGACCATGAAGGGCTAGGAGAGCTCTCCCAGTAGTGTGGGTGGGCAGGCAAACTCCCTGGACAGCTTGTCTCCCTGCTCCACCGTGCCAACATGCTCCAGGGTCCCATCAAACAGAGAGTCCTCAGATCTCTGCACTGGGGAACCAACACAAAGGCAGGATGCGAGGATGATGGGCTCACAGACCTACATCCCACTAGCTGGTGGCATTTCTGCTCACCATGATGCACTGAAACACCATTCCCAGAGCAGAAATGAGCCAAGATGCTCACTGCATCCACCAAACTGAATCCCAGAGCACGGCATCCACCTTCAGACCCACCAACGGTGCTGCACACCCGTGGCACTGCTCCAAACACCAGCCTACACTGCATGGAGAGAAGATGCCAGAAAGCAGTGGGGCCTGGAAGGAGTCTCGGGAGCAGCTGGGGCTGTGCAGGGAGGTACGGCTCAGGACAAGGGCCAGCGCAGCTACAGAGATGCACGGAGAAGAGCCCAGCTTTGCCGCAGTGCTGCTCAATCTGGCAGACCCTGAGGTTTCTCAGGCTCTGTGTTCATCCATGGGGATGGTGAAGAGCTGACCTGGTCCCCTGAGCCAGGGAAGAGCAGTGCAGGGGCCCATGAGCAGCCCAAGAGGGCTCCCGGGCACAACAACTGGGCAGATGGAGAGGAAGAGGAAGGAAGCCATCCAGCCCTTACCTCTGCTGAAGATGATGCTCTCATAAGGGATCTTGTTCTTGGTCTCCAGGCTTGAGCAATTCCAACGCTGGTCCCGGAACTGGTGCTGGCACTCGTGGATGGCAATCTGGATGCCCTGGATGGCCGAGGCAGTGACGTCAGGGTGGCGCACGCACACCTCCAGCTGCCGCCGCGTCAGCCCCGGCAGGGTCAGGCACACCGTGTTGGCGTTCAGCACCGGCTCCGATGGCAGCTTCAGGCCCAGGATCTCATTGGAGCAGGAGCTGGGAGGGAAAGGGAAACCTGTGAGCAACGTGCCGACTGCTCACCTCCCTTTTGGGAACACATAGGGAGGAGAGATGCTCCTCTCCTCACACCGTGCCCGCTGCCTGCAAGGGTGACACACCAGGGCAGGCTGGGATTGGAAAGCAGGGGAAAAAATGAGGGGCACTGGAAAGGGTCCGCTCCAACGGCTGGGGGGCCCCAGGGTCAGAACTGCCTCTCTGCCCCCTACCCCTGGGCACAACGGCAAGCTCAGCCAGGCAGAGATGCCCCAGCAACTGGGTCCTCCCCAGCCATGTGGGCACAGCACTCCAGCAGGTTGTGTGCCCAGTAGAAGTCCAGCATCTCCCAGTGCTGTCCCACTCTGCATGATTCTCTGGAACTCTTCCATCCCAGTCACACAGTGCAGACCCTTGGGCACAGGCTGCCCTGGCTTGCCTTCCTCAGAGAGTGTGGTTTTCCCCCCTGGGAGAATCCAGAAACCCTGGAGCAGGAGACCCATCCCAGCTTTGGCTCCATCCCTGTTGCTGGCTGATCCCCTCTCTGCATCTCCTGTACCCCTCTGGTACTGCTGCTCCTCACAGTGGGGGTAATCAGAGCGGCCAGCCTCTGATTTCCTGCCAGCTCGACTGGGAAATTCAGAGCCAAGCACCTTGCCAAACACCCTCAAGATCCCAGGAACAATCCCAAACCCACCATCACATCCCAGCCCCACTGGACCTAATGCCTGTCACCACAGAAGCAGAGAGACCATCGGATGGGGTTCAAGGGGAGGCACACGGTCTGTGGTGTGGGTGCCAGTACTTATGCAGGAGATGCTGCCTGGGGAAACAGGGATGGAGTGTGGGGAGATGGACAAAGCATGTCAGAGACAGCTGCCTGGAGCTAAAGACAGTGGTACATGTGGATGAGATGAGGTAGATGGAAGAGGAGAGAGTGTTTGCCCAGCTCCACAGAATGGCTTGAAGGACCCTGGGATCCACGGTGTCCAAGCAGAGGACCTGCAAAGCGAGCAGCAGGCAGTGGGGTGTCCAGCAGCATCCTGCTTCTTGCAGCAGGGTCCATCAGGAGCTCAGCACTGCTCTGCTCCTTGCTCAGGACAGCTCGTTCCTGTCTGATGGCTCCCTCCAGGCAGGGCTCCCTCTTTCCCCGGACAGCCAAGAGCTGGGTCCCTGGGAGGAGCAAGGATTTTAGAGCCCTTTGAACCTTGACTACAGAGATGAGACTTTGAGGAGGATGCTGGAGGAAGGACTGCAGCTGCCTCACAGAGCAGCCAGGTCTTGGGGAGAAGGGTCACTCCACCTCTGTTCCTCCAAATCCTGCGAGCCAGGTGCAGGTACGTGGGCAGAAGCAACTCTTGGGGCCAGGGACTGACTTCCCCAGCTCTGGAGGAAGGGCTCAGCCCCAGGGTCCCTGCCGGATTACAGCTTGGTCTGGGGGAAGGGGAGCTGTCAGGGTCAGGCTGCTGCTTCCTCCAGCTTCCCAAGGGTGTTTACACCCACCCCACCACTTCCACAGCTGACATGCGGGTCTGCCTCCATGCTAATCCGCAGTGTCTCCAATGGGGAGAGTGGAGGTGGGGGGACAGCAGAAAGAAGGAGAGCAGAAGGGGGTACATCCCTCCAAAGCCCCTACACAGGAGCGGAAACCCTCTGGCTGGCTCCTGCGCTCGCTCAGGCTGTCAAAGCAAGCCCTGGCTGACAGGACCAGCCGTGCCAAGCAGGTCCGCAGCTACTGCCACCTCCAAACCCAGCCGCTCCTGCCCCAAGCACGGCAAGGACCTCCTGCCTGTC